AAATTACATCTAGCCCTACCTTTAGATTTCCATTTTCATAAATCACATATCAAGTTTAACTTTTCAAAATTCAGGTTTTTTTATATTTAATTTAATATAAATCATATTATTTTCATCCCAATTAAAATAACCAAATCAACCCTAAAATTCATTCCACCTCGTTCCATTCTCTCCTTCTCGTCTCTGTGCTTAGAAATCGTCGCCCAAACTGCCGGCGAAATAAGGGATCCTACGTTTTCTCTGTCAACCGGTATCTTCTCTCTCTCTATAACTTCTTCTCCCTCTCCACTCCGACAAAATGGCACTCCAGATATGTTGTTTTTCTCCCCACAGATCCAGATCTTTTGTTTTTCAGGAGTATCGTCCCTTTTTTTTTCATTTCCAGATCTGTTGGTTGTTGCTGTCGTCGCACCGTTCGCGACGTCGCTGCTACAAACGGTGCGACCCCCTGCCGCCGCCACTGTTCTCTTCCTCCCACCGCCACCACCATTTTTCCCCTCACATCTCTCACCATTTTCTCCACTCTCTCATCGGAGGGTCCCTTGCACCAGCACTATCAAGATTCACACCCTTCTCTTTATCAGCAAATACAGCAGATGACCAAAATGATTCGATAAAAGGAGTTGAAGGTGATCCAAAGCACAAATGCGGCCTCATTTGCACAAGGTCGTGTGATAAATCTGCAAACAAATTTCTGTTTTGTGGATGGACTCAGAAGGTTATTCCTTGTAGCAAGTCTCTTGTTGTTTGGCAGAGAGGATATTCTTGAAACTGCTGCCTAAGTGGAATTGGGCTATTTTTGAAACTTGAACAGATTCTGTGCGATTCTAGAGATTTATTGTCTTCCAACTCAGTGATTTCTTCTTTTCTCTTTTTTTTTTTGTTTTTTTTTTTTATATGCTCTTTTTTGTTGTTGTTGGTAGTGGCGTCGTACCATCCGCCGGCGGCGGCGGCGGCGGCGGTGTTTTTGTGTGGTTGGATGCAACGGTGGTGGTAGTGTTTTTGTGTGGTGGTAGTGGTGTTTTGTATGGGGTGTTGTTTGTTGCGACGGTGGTGTTGGTACTGGTTGCCGTGAGATGGTGGGGGTTTTTGTGGCGGTTTTGGGCAGGGGCGGCGGCGGTAGTGAATATTGTTGGTGGTCTGTGACCAAGTATTTAGTTATCTGTGACCAAATATTTAATTGTGGCCTAAAATTTTGACTATGTGACCAAAAATTTATTAATTGTGACCAAAAAATTATTAATTGTGATCAATAAATTGATAAATTGTGACCTAAATAAGTATTGTGACTTATAAATTTTGGGATCTGTGACCGATGAACAAAATGTGACTTTTAAATTTTTAAGTTGTGACCAATAAACAAATTGTGACATATGAAAATTTAGAATTGTGACCTAAAAAAATTTGAATTGTGACCAAATTGTATAGATCTGTGACCTTAACCTATTCGCCGGAATAGCCCGGAGCTGTAGGGGTGGTGGAGGTGGGGATAGGTTAATTATTTTTTAGTAGAATTAAATATTAATAATAAATTAATTTAATAAATATTATTTCATAATTAAAAATTTAAAGAAACCTGATTTTTGAAATTTAAAACATGTTTTTGTATTTTTGAAATGGGTAAAAGTAAATACCTTATTTATGTATTCTTCCCACTAATAATTGTGGAAATTACACAATTTCCTACTTTTGAAAATTCAAATTCTAAAATCAGATTTTATATTTTAATGTTCAAAAATCAGATATTTTTAATCAAATACAGATTATAATTATATAATTAAATATTAATTATATAATTTTCATCCTAATTAATTTCATTTAAAAATAAATCCTAAATTCATTTCTCCCTTACCGTACCTATCTCTCCCACCGTCTCTGTCTTCTCTTGTTCCCCTCACCGGCGACCCATTCATCTCCGGCAACTGGTGACCCATTCATCTACGGCGACCGACGACGAAGGCAGACACCGTTGAGAACGGAGATGCTGCAGTCCGTCTTCTTCCCCTCTAAACGGAGATGCTGCAGTCCATGAACAACTGAGATTTCCACTGTGTCGCCACCATGCCTACCGGAGGAGAAATGCGTCGCCCGCCGGAGGAGCCACTGCATCAACAACTGGTTTTTTTTTGGCAATCGGATATGGCTTTAGCCACAGATATCTAAGGTCCCTGAGCCTTCGAAAAGCATCTCCAATTATATTTTTATGAATGATCGAAAAGTTTTCAATCCACGTGATATTGATGTTTAACTCAAAATTATGGTAAATTGTCAACATTTAAGTAGCGAGACAACTAAAGGGATAGCAAGTCGAGATGACAGATCTAAACTCTTCAATAATATGTTTGACCTCTTTTAAAGGGTTTAATTTCAACAGTGATCCAAAAAAAAAAAAAAATCACTCTCCTATAATAAATACTATAAAATTTACGATTATCTATGATGTGACGTATTAGTTAATATTGTTTGTCCATATTGGCATTTAAAGGTGCCTCTTAAGGTTTTTTGTTAACGTGTTCAATCGAGTGACCATTAATGTAACCATTGAGAACTTGAGTAAACACTTGTGTAAGAGAAATACTTCAATAACCGTTTTGAATTTTTTTTATCGTTGCTGCAATCAACCCTTTTAAAACCCTAACACTTTAGATTGAAATTTCACAATTGATTTGTTCTAGTTTTAGATATGCCTCATCATCGACCTCCTCATAAAAAACTTAAGAGCATCCTACTTGTCTTCATCTTAGCCGCTCAAAAAACATACTTTTTCTACTCACATTCGAACATCAACATTCAAACTTTTAATGAACCAATTAGCTACCGTCGAAACATCTCAAATTAACTTCATCGATAAAATTGGTGCTTGTTACGGGACTGTGTCAGACCCTCCACATCAACGCCACGTGTCAGTGGAGATGGCCCACACACCCGACACTTAGGCCGAGTTGATTACCCCATGGGACGAGCTGGCTGTGCATGCCGAAGTGATTACGTAAGGAACAAACTGAATAGGCGCCAGCGAAAGAACCGGACTCACCCGCCAACACATCGCGGATGCAAAGGCCCACACTCCGCTTCTAGAATGCTGCAACGCCTCACTCGCCTCGCCTCATCAAAGATCTCTTGTACAAAGATCCTTCCAAAGTCAAGTCACTGACAGATGGGACGCGTGGCAAGACTCAAACGGTCAAATCAGCTGCTCATGTCAGAAACATTTAATTTTGGCCAGCCTTTGGATGGACAGAATGACACCTAGGATGGGACGAGTTTTGGAGATCTAGCAACACGTGTCTCCTCATCCAACGGCTCTCATCTTCCCATCCTTAGTATAAATACTCCCTCCTTGTGCCTGAAAAAATATTGGAATCCAATACACTACTACACTAACTTGAGTATTATCTTCTCCCCCATATTGTTGGCATTTTTTATTATCATTACACGTTCAATCACTTCCCGACGAGTGTTCTAATCGCTAGCGAACCCCCTTTGGTTGAAACTTCAAACTGATTTGATCGTCGGAGTGTTTGCGGCCGCTCTCAACCTCTCCGGGAAAGGCCATAGAGATTGACGGCATGCCACGTGTGCAGAGAGGAGCTGACTTGAAGACCTTCTTTTGTTGGCCACGTGTTGGAGCCATTTTTCGAGATCAACAGTGCTCATAACTCCCATTGCTCAAATTCAAAAATTCATTCATCCTTCTTCCACTATGGAACTTAGACATATAAATCTTGAAACTCGATTACCTACGATTTAATTTTTCATGTCAAATACCAAATGATCGATACACAAATATTAAGAAATCTTAATAGTATTTTTATTCAATTCAAATAAGCCATCAAACAATGAATCCTAATTCTTCTTTCAATGAAAAACCCTACAACCTTGTTAAAATCCCATTGCACTTAACCTAATCAAAACTGTTCATTTTTTTTTTTTCCAAAATTTTTTTTTTTTAGAATTGATTCAAAGTGTAATGTGAATAATGTTGTTCCAACAAGTCTTCTTGAATCTTAGATAGTCAAAGTTTAGAATAGTGATTTGCTTATTAGGATGTGTCGTTACACAGTATTAGATTATGAAAGACTTACAATATAAAAGATCGTACACAATAGACACTCATAGTACTCTAAGAACAAGATACACCAGCTAGTACTTTCTATAGAATCCAGGGGTCGAAAGAAAAGTGATCTTAAGACAGGATGGGCAAAATAAGTTGATATCTACTTTTTTTCTGAATAATTAAGGTTACTATGTAATTAGGACCACAAAAACTAGGTTTGGCCCACCTGCCTTTGTCAAGGAAACACGTGCTTGATTATCGTAACATCACCTTGCCTTAGGGTTTTATCGAGTTACTATCAAATTTTTAAATTATTTACCAAAAATTTTCAGTTCGTTTTATTTATTTTTTCTAACTATTATTGTGTATATATATTCTTTATCGATGCTGTTAGTTAAGTTAATTAAGTGGGTTTTTTATCGAGAAAAACTTATATATTTTTATTAATTTTTTGTAAGGTACGCCGTAATTAAATAAAATGTATGGTTTAAATAAATAAAGTACTAAAGTCGAATCAAGAATGCATGCCTTGAACGAATTTTCAAATATTGTTTCTTTTTAAACCAATAACAGCTTTTAATAATTATTTTTCACGCCTACAAATCTTAAATATCAAATAAAAACATAAGGAGAAATAAGTATAATTTATTTTCATAATTACTTATATATCAGATTTCCCATATTCAATCAATTCACAATTCAAGACAGAACAAAGAGAGAATATCAGCATGGACATCCTTGGACACATTTTCAGTACTTTATTTTCCCTTGCAGGGTACTATTTTGTGTAACTATAATTTTCTTCGAAAAATACGACTCGAGAATTCTTCTTTTCTTTTCAACTCAACGTGAGATATCACTAGATCGTTACACCTGTAGATTTTTCAGGAACATTATTTCGAGTTTTCGACACAGTTTTAACATAAATCTTTTATTTTTATTTTCAACAGGCCAACAGCAATCCTTCTATACCCTCTGTAAGTTCGATATTCTTGCACTTTTTTGCATAAAAGTACATAACTTCGATATGTGTTTTCTGAATGAATGAATACAGATATGCAACCCTGCAAGCAATAGACACACTAGATGAACAACAATGGTTAACGTATTGGATTCTATACTCATTTATAGCGCTATTTGAGCACGCTTTTGAATGGTAATTCGTAAAGAAAGATAGATTTCGACTTTTTTTTCGAGGGTGTGTGTGTGTTTTTCTAACATAACTAACACATACTGATACAGGTTCCCCTTGTGGCCATACATCAAGATACTGATCTGTCTGTGGCTGAATCTGCCAAAGTTCAACGGTGCGACTTTTATATACCAGAAAGTTGTCAAGAAATATTTGAATGTTGGGACTCGGGTAAGTTCAAATAGGGCTGGTGGCCAGCCGAAGGTTGTTCAGATGATGGAGCCTGAGACGGTGAAGGCAGTGGAGAAATTTATCGAGAAATACGGTCTAGAAGCGTTTGATAGAGCCATAAAAGCGGTAAAAAAATGGTCAAGAGACCCCCGCCCCACCCCAACACACACAACAGTTGAAGGGATAAATCCCACATTGAATAAATATGAAATATAGGCAAACTTATAAGGGTTTGGAGTACTCCTACTAATTAGGTTGACCTTTTAAGATGGAACCCTAAATTTTAATATCGTATTAGAGCCCATTAAGCAATCTAAGTAAGACTCAAAAAATGAGCACGTGAATTTCAAGATTAATTTACTCAAACAAGCCACCACGCGGAGGCATATTGAGGGATAAAATATCACATTGAGTAAAGATAAAAACAAAGACCAACTTATAAGGGTTTGGAGTACTTCTCCTAATAAGGTTGACATTTTAAGATGGAATCTCAAATTTTAATATGATAACAGAGCTCATTAAACTTCAATGAGCAATACGATCTGATTAAAAACTCAAAAATTAGCAAACGGATTTCAAGATTTGTTTGTTCAAACGAGCCATCATCTTGCAGCAATATGTTAAGATATAAAATCTCACATCGAATAAAGATAAAACGTAGACCAACTTATAAGGGATTGGACTACTCTTAATAAGGTTGATATTTTAATATGAAACCTCAAATTTTAATATGCAACACACCATACAAGTATGCACATAACACCTCTAATTTTTGCAGGCTGAGAAATAGGACGACGAAGAATGAAGAAGAATACTAGGAAGTTCGACATATCTTCATGAGTTCCACATAAGCTTTTCGTCTGATATTAATTGGTTGAAGTACGACAAGAAATAGAGTCAACATCTAACTATCATACATACAGAATATTCACATGTAATTATCATCTTCTTCATGGTGTTATGCTCCTATATCTTTTCTCAGAATATGAATAGATAAAAAAGACTTTCATTTTTACAGTTTATGCAATACTCTTTAACCCGTGCGCCATAAACAAAAATACAGCTCATCATCGACTAATTGGGATAATCTGAGGACGTGACCTTCATGATCTGGCATGGTCTAAAATCGGGATAATACGAGCACAAAGGCAAAGCAATTTTACTGAAAGGTCAAATTCGAATAAATATGGATTTCCATCAATAACAAAGATATTTCAATCAACTTCACTACACCATTGATTTGACATTGCTTTGTCACACACATAACTAAGAGTAATACATTAATATAGTACGACAAACTTGAAAGGAAAGGATAAATTATATAAATACAAAATGACATGGGCAACACACAAATAGCCAGAGTTAAAGATGATACCATTTCGTTCTCAATATAGATGTGCGGTCAGCTTCTCGTCTAAGTGTTGAAAGATAGGGCGTAAATGTCTTTTACACATAACTTGCATAAGAAACAAACATAGTTTCACACTATTCAGCTTATTTGACAGCAAACAAGCCACATTTGAGTGTAATTCTTGCTATTCAAGCCGAAGTGGGCATAGTAGGCGGAAACAAAATTGAGTATTTGAGTGATCCTCCTGCATTAGAAGAAGCATTAGGAGAACTGGATACGAGGAACAATTTCAATAATTGACCATGATGAGCAGCATGCTTACTCCTAGAACCTGAAGATTTGAGCCGATTTCTCAGATTCTAAAAGTCTGAAACCTGTAGTTGTTGCCCCAAAAGGGGTGGTTGCATGGGTTGATTTGGAACTATTTTGATCCATTTTTTGACAGGCCTTGAGTATGTGCTTTGCTCCAGCAGTCAGCTTTACGGGACCTGACCTTGCTGTGCCACTCAACGGATCCTTCCCGGTTAAAATCTTGTGTTCATCCTTCTCACTCTCGTATTCTCCACAAGCCATGATTTTTTCTTTGTTTTTGGCAAAATCTGATGGAAATGGTTGCCCAATATTTCCAGCTTCACCTTCAAAATTAACGCAGGTCATTGATTTTGTCATAGAAAAATTAGATACTTCTTGAATTCCCAACTTAGGCATCTTCATGGGCTTAAAAGAATCATCTGATGCAGCCGAAGCCCGCTTTCTGGCTTTCTTGCCATGGCTAGGTCCTCTAATTCTCATTCTTGACCTGGTTGGTTCTTTGAATTTTAATTGACTTCCATATCTCTTCTGCAAAATTGAATTTGGCACAATCCCAGAGTAGCAAGACACAAGTGCACGCTGAGTCAATGGAGCTGGAGCAATTGAATTCTGAAAGGCAGAACCAGAGAAAGAATTGTGCATAGCTTCATGTGTCAACGATACCCGAGGATCACACCAACAATTAGTTCCCGGCAAAGTAAGGGGGTCATAACTGCTGCCCAAATTAGAGTATGATTGGCCATAACTCAACAATGCTTCCCTTTCAGCAACATCAAACAACAATGGGGAAACGTTCTTAGGAGAGCACTGAGACCAAGATGATTGTGAATGACCTTCGAGATCCGGGTGCATGAATGGAAATCGGATCACTGACCTTGGAGCACGAGGCAATCCCTGAGAAGAAGGTCTTGGCATAGGGAACTCAGAACTAACTATTTTGAATTCACATCCATGGGTGATGGGATCCCGGACTTTAGATCTCATATTATGAACAGCGGAGGAGTTAACGGGAGGAAGACAAGTATGTAATCCAGGAATGGGATTTATTTTGCTTGCGACAAAATCATTCCGGTGCATATCAGTACTTTGCAAGGCAAAGTGCGAGAAAGGTCGCAACATACTTTCTGATCTGTGATTGATTTCAGTTTCTGATAAACAAGCCAAAGTTTCTTTGAATTTCCCTAAAGATGATTCATTCTGACTATAAACTGCAAAATTGTCAATGGCATTACCACCAGAATGATGCTCAGCTATGATCTGATTATCCTTCCAAAGCTCGTTTCCACTAACTATAAATTCTTTACCCATCAAACGCATTTTTGATTGGACCAAATGTGGCAAAACACGATCACGGTTCCAGCTCTTCTGGTAATCTTCTTGGCGTCCATGGTAAGGCTCAATCTCCTGGTGCAGGTCCCTTTCTACTGTATTAAAGGAATGATCTTTTCTTTTGATCAAATTCAAGTCAATATTTGTTTTTCCTTCCTGTTGACATTCAGTAATACCGAATCTAGATTGCATGACAACAAAAGGGTTCTCTTTCATATAGCCCTTGACAGGGAACTCATTCGACTGGTCCCTGCGGGATGTTCTACATTCCCAACTTCTGCACTCTGAATGCTTACCCAAGCAATTCGGGATGACACTGCAATTCTGGGCTAAGTTAATGGAAGAAGCTGCAGCGATACTTGGCTTTATCGTCTGTTGAAACTCCCCTTTACCACTTGAGTTCAACTTGATTAATTCTCCGTGTGAATTGAGAGGTAAGCCAACAAAATTTCCATCCATTCTTTTTTGGTTCACTTCCGGAAGGGCACATAAAGTCGTCTGCAATTCCTTGGACGACATATGAGGAAATGATTGATACTCGAAGGCGTGAACACTATGATTCTCTATGGTACTTTGTGGGGGAAATCGAGGCATGTTTGATCTTTTCTCCAATTTATATAAATTCGGGACAAAAGGCTCATTATATGCTTTTGGATAATCCTCGAAACACAATGGAGGAAATCTGCGACCGGGATCCCCTAGATGTTCGATCAATCCTCCGCAGTTATTGTAAGCACTTGATGAATTTCTAATCACTTCGATACTCGGGTTTTCTTTATGTCCTTCTGGATACATACAAAAGAACGGACGAGGAGAAGCCCGCAAAGGATTGTGAAATGCTTCTCTATGGCCTCTTTCAAACAAATGTAAATTCATGCCTTGCAGTGCACTTTGATATGAGTTTACAGATGTGCCAAACAGTCTATCGTGGCTATGTTTGTTCACGATGTTAGAAGTATCAAATTCATGGCATGCAATAGTCAACTGCTTTTTACTTACAGATTGAGCACCATGCCCATTTTCAGTTCCACCAGAAATATCTTCACTTCCGCTTGTTTCTATAACAGTCAAATTATTGCCTATCTCTCCAGCATGATCTTCCAATAAAGAAGAAGCAATCGTGTCAGAATCTGAACCACGAGTCGTTGTTAACACTTGACATCCTAGTATGTCGTCCTTATCTGAGAAATTGAGTTTGTTCACCTGCTGTGTTCCATGTGGATTGGCTTGAATAGACTTGTGCAAGATGGGATTTCTTGGTTGCAGTAGCGGAAATACTTTAGTGTGATTCTTTAAACTTCTACGGACGGGAAACACTGATTTTTCGTTTTCTGCGGTCACATTAGAAGAATTACAAGCTATTGTCTTCTTTTTAGCATCCAAACGTTTCCCTTTTGGCTTCCCCTTATGGATCGGAACAGCATCAGATATATCAACATCCAACTCTTTAACACCACCACGAGATTGCAGGTGGAGCTTAAAACATATCTCCTGGGAAGCATACAAAATACGTCAGTTATTAGGATATGAAAAGGAGAATGATTTCTCAAAATGAAACAAACCAAAAGTTATCTTTCTGTTAACCAACTTGATGAGATTTGAGGGAAAAAGATGAAGGATACTTCAAGTTTTCTTTTTCTTTCTTAAATGCAACCTCGTTACTTAACAAAATGCAATACCTCAACTATCTCCATGACAAACAAGAAAATCGTTGAGCATCACATTGCAAAAAATCGAAAGCACATGATTTTATGTATGATTTTAAATAACTAGAGGGGTTTTATTTAACCGCCATCAAACCATTATTTCATGTATGTTTCCATTTTCCGATACCAAAAATATAAAACATCGAGTTTGCCATTAGACGCCATTGCCTAATTGATCAAAACTCTAAAGAAGTTAAGCAGCATATATTCAGCTTCAAAGAACAGTCTGACTATCCTTAAATCACAATGCAAATACTAAAACTCGTAATTCATCAACGAATTCAATAAATAAGATCGAACCTCATGTTAACACATTTATTTTATCCATATCTGTCCAGTAGATTCAGCTGGCACGGTACAAGCTACCAAATATCCCATACTGTACCATCAAACCAATGTATCCTTTAGCTTTCCAGCATTATACACTACCCCACCCATTAAATTTCACCAGAAACCATCCTTAAAAGCCACAAAAAGTACTTTTTAATTCATTGAGTGTTCCACCATTAGAGATATGCATTAAAGCCTTCAATCAAGAATCGACCAAAACATGGTGTAAAATATTCGATTCGGTACCTCAATATTTTATAGGGTCCCAAAAATTACTGTGAATCAACTCTTACTAACTCATTGAAAACAAAAACCCATATCGTAATTTCACAGTTTTATGCCCATGTTCGATTTTCATCGCTTTGAGATGATTTACAAACCCCAAGTATCTTCCAAATAGCCCTCCACATTGAGCAACCCTAGCCTAACAAAAAGGTTCAAGAAATCATATGGTCAAATTTTGGGGATGTGATAAGAATTGAAATGCCCCCAAAAATTTGCCATGACAATGATGGTTCAAGAGAAAAACATACGCAAACAGTAGAAAAAACAACATAATTAATTAACAAAACTTTCAACCTCGTAAAAATTGCTGTCCAATTCGTGCAACACAGCTGGAACACCATACCCTCTTCTTACCCTTGTAACCTGATTAAATCCCTCTAACATGAGAACCCCATTCTCCTATTTGTTTTTACCTTTATCTCTTTATCTGAATGAATATAATTGTCACACAAACAATTTTTCAGCAGTGATTTCTAAGCAAAAAGAGGTAAAAATCAAGCATTTTTAACTACTCAGAATCAAGAAAACTTTAGTTTGGCCTATATTTTATGTTCCAAATTACATAATTCTCAACCATATCAATAAATATAATCCATTCAGAATCGATAGATTTGTATGTAAACAATGTAGAAGACCCCTTTTTATAGACGAATTTGAGATGATTATATATGAAGAATCCCATACCTTATTGACAACTGATAGACCCATCTCATAATTGCTTTTCTTCTTGAATTTGTTAATCTTATTCTTTGGCTTCTTCAACTTGCTTAAGTAAATCTCTTTTTTATTCTTTTTCTTCTCATTCCTCTTCCCTTTGAGGCCCCATTTAATTTCCTTGGAATCGCAAAAGTCGTCCTCCTCCTCCTCCTCCTCCTCCTCCTCCTCAGTACTAACTCTATCCACAGGTGGCGCCACCGCGAAAAGCTCCTTTATTGACCTTTTCTTTGGAGCCCTTGGTTTCATTTTCCCCCTTAAAGCCTTCAACTTTGCTTCTTCTCCTATGAATTCTTCAGCATCCAAATCTGACTCTTCTGTATACTCTTGATATCTAAGTGATGGTTCTCCCTTTTCTTGAAATTTTTTCTTCTTCTGTTTCGACTTTTCGACTTTAATCGATTCTGAACGCAACAATTCAAGTACATCGAACCACCAGGTGAATTTCTTGACAGTGATCGGAGGGAGCAATGATTTTATAACATCTTCATCACTCTCGTCGAAAGGCCAACAATTTACCACGTTAACGCTTCTCATCCTCGAGGTATATTCTCTACAAAATCACAAAAAACATACCTTTTGAACAAACCCAACAAAAATCAAGACCTAATAAATATTAAACACATTAATTAACAAAACTTAACAACTCACCGCAACGAAAAGCCCTCAAATTTCATAGCCATCACTTCTAGTTTCTTCACCAAGATATATATTGAGATATATAGTGAGGAAGAAGAAAAAAAACAAAGCTAGACAGCAACCAAAATACTAAGGAAAAAACACAGATACAAACAACATAAACACTTCAACTGTATAAAACAAAGATCTTGAAGAAGCAAGAAAAAAACCCCACAAAAATAGATAAGAAATTCGAACTGGAAAATGATTCTTTGAGTATTCTAGAGAGAGAAAGGAAAATGTTCTAGTGTGAGAAAGAGAGTCAGTAATGGCATTTCTTTATGCATTTTTTCCCGCTCGAAAGGTGTGGTGTCAATCCCATTTCCTGCTCTGTATATTTAACTCTTGAAAGCGACATATGAGACAATTTTTTTCCACTTTTTTAGTATTTTTTCTACCAAAATTATTACAATACATTTCTTATTACAGCCAACTGTATGTACATGTTTACACGCAGATTCTTGTGTGCACAAAGTTAGGATGCAGTCATAGAAGAGAGTTTCTGTGTCTGACAGTGCATAAAAAAGTAGTTTAATCCGTTTGATTTGAAAATATTATCTAATCGAAACTGTGATGGATAATAAAATCAATTTTTTAGTAAATTTTAATAGATATTAATTAAATAAATTGTTGAAAAATTATGAATTTTACTATGCCCTGTTTGGTACCCATTAATTTCTCATTCTCATTCTTCATTTCAACCACACATTTTCCAAATAAAATAATATTACACGCAAATCTAAAATTTTTCATCACTTCCACCACACATTCTCACATCAATCACTATTCCAAAATTTTTATATTAAATTTCATTATTAATTTTAACTTAAATTAAAATATAAACCAAACACCGGCAAAAATGTGTGTCAATTGTGTACTGGAGAGAATTTATGTAGATGCATGTCGTGATAGGGACAACCGCTGTCTGAAGGGGGGACCCACATACCAGAACATCTGTCCTTTTGATAAGGACAAGAGAAGAGGGGAATATCTACACCCACTTCTCTTCTTTACTTGTTTTATTTTTTTTTTTTTATGTTTTGATTTTGTTTTTATTCTTGTCACACAATTTATTTAGCCTCAGTTTGACTCACATCATATTTTTCATTCTCATTTTTAACTACACATTTTTTAATAAAATAATATTTTTCATTACATATAACTTTTCCTTCATTTTTATCTACGTATTCTCAATCACATCACTTCAAAAAAATGCATTCTCTCATTTTAATGTGCACCAAACGGGCTCTTACCTAGAAATAACGAAGTCCCATGAGGCCATCAACTATTTGATGTCAAGATTGTTATTTAATCCTTGTAATTTTATTTGACATTTTGAAGAATTTAATGACTATAGCCTGTTTGGTGCACATTAAAATGAGAGAATACATTTTTTTGAAATGATGTGATGAAGAATATGTGGTTGAAAATGAAGAAAAAGTTATTGATGTGATGGAAAATATTATTTTATTGAAGAATGAGTGGTTGAAAATGAGTAGAAGAATGAAAATAAAAAAAATAATGTGGGTCAAACAGGGGGATCGCTGAACTATTGTTTTTGCTCAATAGTTAACTATCAATATTTTATTTGAAGCATGTTCAAAATGATATTACTATTTTCAATTCTTTGAATTTCATACTAACACTTTTGTTAGGGTCAATTCTATTGTTATGATTATGTTATATGCATTTTTTCATTCGGTTAAAAATAATTTTTTACAATATAGACGCATATGATCTTCCCTTATGTGCCTTGCATTACGATCTTTATCACAATAATGTTGCCCATAAAGCAAATTATTTCATAGATTAAATTTCACTTGACTGTTTAGAATTCCATTATATATGTCTAGAGTAGAAGTTTTGTATAAATGTCAGTGTTTTAAAAAACGTAAAACATGATTAGATATGGAGACTAAACTTCAAGTTTTACAAGCCTAGACGAGTCTAGGCGAGATCTATACATAAAAAGTATTACTTATTTTATATACTTAATCATTCTAAAAATCGTTTAATAATTAAAATAGTACATACTAAATATCTGAAATTATAAAATATTATCTTTGCTTAGCCATTGTTTGGTTTGGATTAAAATCCAATTAAAATCTCAAGTCAAAGTCAACAATTAATTTTAATCACGCATTTAATGAGACTCACAACTTTTCAACCACACATTTCATCAACTTCATCAAAATCAACTAAAATTATAATTTTAATCTCTATCAAACAGAGACTTAATAATTCATACAATTAGTTAATTATACAATTTTCAAATTTTCGAAATGCAAAAGTTAGACTATTTTTCATAGTTTCAACTTTCAATTGGACAAGTTTTACGTAACAGATTTATAAAGAACCTCGTATATATTTTTCAAAAATTTTAACAAAACGATAAGTTTCAAAATCATAATTATATAAAATAGATAACGTCATAACTTAAATCTTATCTAAATTTTTATTGGATAAAATCATTTTTTACTTTTATACAAATAAGAGTCATTTAAAAATTTAAAACTAAAGTCAAATAGAGGCCTTTAACAAATATATAAAAATAAAAAATAAAACGCACCTAGGCGTAGGGCACATTAATCAATCAACATAGCAGTTTACCACTTAATTCGTGTTTACTATCAAGACAAAATATTTTGCTCGCACCTAAGCGTCGCTTAGACACACTTTTTAGAATACTGATAAATATAGTGCCATATTATTAAGCATTTTGATTAGGTTAATATTTGTGAAATGAATTTAAAATAGGTAGTTATTGTCCTTTTAATTGCTAATAGAAAGTTTAAACATATCAATCAAATAGAAAAAGAAAGAGTAGTACCATAAATGTTAGTTTGCAGAAACGAAGTGTTACATCGTTTTTGGGCCTCGAATTAATGCCAAGTGCAAACTATTATCCGACAGGTGAAGAATTGGGCCCACATCTAGATGTGGGCTCAGACTAAAAACAAATCAAATTTATTTTAAAAATCTAATTTCAGTACAAATTGTTGTTCAATGTTTATGATATTGTCCTGTTTTATTCAACTGACTTGCACTACGGTGCAAGGAAATGTGGGTTCAATTTCTTTATTTATTTTATTATTATTTTTTTAAGGCATGAAGATATTAAGAGCCTGTTTGTTTCCAATTAAAATCCAATTAAAATTGAAAATATGCCCGTTATTGGGTCTCACTCGTCTAATAAAAGTCAACGATAACGGCTAGTTTTTCAATTTTAATCCGATTTTAATCTCTACCGAACACGCTCTAAGTGTGTGTTTGGTAGGGATTTTTTGGGGGAAGAATTGATTTTGAATAGTGATATGATGGGAAATGTGTGGTTGAAAAAAAAAAGATAAGATTATTGATGTGATAGAAAATATTATTTTACTGAAAAATGTGTGATTGAAAATAAGAATTAATTTACTGTTGAAAATGAGAATTGGTACCAAACATAGCATAATTGAATACTCCAAAATCTCAATTATGATATGAGGGTGGAAGGTAGTTTTCAATCTTTAATTAATCATACATACTTCTATATAAATGTAGCTACTTTTCATAGGACCAAGAAAAGAAAAGGGCACATAAATGATTGAAGCATACCTGATTATTTTATAGCTACTTGTTTATGTATATGTAACTGGTAAAGGGTTTTTTAGATTATAAGTAGTAGGTAATACAGATAAGTGTGGATAAAAAATATATACAAGTTTCGGGTCCAAGGAAATGTGTAGAAAAATTGATTTCTCACCATCGAGGGTTTGAAAAGATACTCTCAAACATGCTCTTCATTGAGGGTTTTTCCATAAGATTCTTTAATGTGTACTAGGACGTCCCATCTAGGTCAACATTTCTTTTAACTCTCATTATCTGCCCATCCCAACATTTTTATACTCAATACTGAGGTTGAATGAACATTGAATAGCTTTAGCTTCAAGGGGAGATTTGTTTCTTATTTTTGTTTATATATAGTGGTGGATTTAAGATTTAGAGTGAGCACGGGCGATCGTTGACCATTAATAGCGACAATGAAAATCAATACTGTGAATTGAAACTACTTGTATCGTAGTTCGAATTGCAAGTGTAGCTTGAAAAATTGGTCATATTACTTACTTTCTTGGTTCGATTTGTTAATAATCACAGTCGAGAGGTCGAGAGGTCGAGAGAGAGAGAGAGAGAGAGAGAGAGTATTTCATAGTTTTAAGGATGACAAAGATTTTGTAGTTGAATGTGTGAAGAAAAAATTGTGTCAATGCTCATCTGAATTGTTAATTTTTTTTGCCGATAGTCTCCAATGACAAGATTAAAACAAATAAATTTTTGGGCTTCTATAAATGTCAACTGTCAATTTAATTTTCTTCTTCGTTATTCTTTCACGTTTCAAAACGTAGTTATCATATTCGATTCAATTGTTAACCCGCACAAATTTTCGGGTTATCGATTAACCGCTAAGTCATTGAAATGTCGAATTTTAGTTTTAAAAATAAAATAAAATAAAGAGACAATATATCAATTACTTGCTAACATTTGTCATATATATTTTTGTCACATTAGGCATCACCATCAATTTGCCATAGTGGTCAAGCTTCCAATAATTTCAAAGGAATGCACGGGTTTGAATCTCTATTGTTGCACTATTTATAATAACTAATCTTTTTATAATAATGAAAAATATTAAAACAAAACACAAGGGATTGATCTTGTGGAGAGTTGAAATCTAGACCTCCACTTAATAGGCTCTCCAACCAATTGAACTATCTAAATTGTTTGAGAACTAAAGAGATTACAGATGTATATAACAAAAATATATTTACATTTATACACAAAAAATTAATACCGACAAATCCAGCACGAACGCCAACCAGAGCTCTCCGGGTCCTGAATCTGTCATTGTATATATATAAACTAGTATATACTTTGTGTATATATATATATATATATGGGCTTATGATTAGGGGCGGACGCAGACAATTAAAGTTATTGGGGCACAATCGAACTTGTAAAAAAGTTT